AATGTCGTCAATCATTCCGGCCCAAACGTTGACAGAAAATTTATGTTGAAAAGAATTTGGGCGGATCGCATGTGGATTTTCTTGAAGCCACAGGTGTTCGTTACGGTAGTTCGTATACCCTGATCGCGTGAAAGTAGCTTCGTCTGTCCACATAATTCTTTTTAAAAAGTTTGGATCATATCGCGTTTCTCTCAATATCCACGAACAAAATATTGCTCTTCTTACATAATCCGGTTCCAGTATTTCTTGCACCCTTCGAAAATGGTAAGGATGTAATCCTTCTCTTTTTAAAATTTTCCACACCGACCATTTTGATAGACTGAGACGATTAGCTATGCGTCTAATGCTCAGGCTAGGGTCTTGAGTAATCATTTGCAATATTTGATGTTCATCTTGGAGCGACAAAACACGAGTACGTTCGTTACCGAGCCTTCTTATTCCATTTTCCGCAAGTCTCAAATGAATTCTCACGAAAGTGCGAGCATTCGGCGTACGTCTGTTAGGAAATCTGCGTGCATACTCTACAACAGCTCTATTTGCACTCCCGTTACACAATCCATACACGAAATGGATGTCAGCGATATGCTGGCTTGAGTACTCGTTCATTGTAATAAACAAAAAGTAGCAGTTCAACAACAAAACAAAAACGTAACAAAGTCTAACAACAAACAATAATTATGTACAGTAAGTAGATTTACTTAAAACCAGGAATGTTATCACAACGCAGAGCGAGGGACGACTGCTCGACGGCACAAGCGCACACTGCACCCTTTTTACCTGGAGACAGCCGTTATTCTGTCTCGCTCGCACTGTTGTGCACAGCGTTTTTTACCTGCTCACACAAAGGATGCTATTGTGCTTGCTTACGATTCCTTGAATTATTGAAGAATTTTATCTTACTCACTGGAATGGGTGTTTAGTTATCTAATATCGGGGTAGAGGCACTTTGAACAGTTACATTCAAATTATCATAGCTCCTAAACTATCTAACTCAGAGTTAAGATTTAAATGTGCATTTATAGCAAATATCCTGTATTATAATAAAAACAAGTAAAAAAAATTGGTTAACACGATGGTTTTTTTTTTAAAGCTAAGAATCTGAAAAACAACATCAATTTGTTGTCTAATTTATTTTTCAAAAATGTTTTTTACTAATACTGAAAAATTAAAAAATAATATTTTGAATCTAGATTTATTGTCTACACTATTAACTAACATTTGAGACCAATTTTGTTTTTGAAAGTCTTCTACTTGGGTAGATATTGTTAAATTAATACAAGCATCTATGCTTCGCCAACAATTTTTTTTAAAGTGCTGCCATTTTTTTATTGATGGCGAAAAAGAATCATTGATCCCTGATTTGTCGATAAAATTAATTGTATTTTAACCCCTTAAAGTATCGGACATCGGAAACCGGACATCCTGTATATTAGAATAGAATAATTTTTTATTCAATATACATTACATGTGTAATTCTTATTGAAAGTCATTTTTTACTTTACCACTGGTTCGAAAAAAAACCCTTTGTCCTGGGAAGAACCAGCAAGAAACCCAGCGGGACTTTTTTTTAAAAATAAATTTTTCTATATAAATGATTACGAACTATTTACAAAATTTATTTTAGAAACTGCTTGGAAACGACCACCTCATTCCCAGGGGTTATTATCAACCATGTATTCATTTATATTATAATAACCCTTTTTATACAGTTTCAGCTTAATAAAACATTTAAACTTTGTAATAGAGAGAACCTGTACACTTTCCGGGACCTTGTTGTAATAGCGTATACATTGCTCCAAGAATGAATTACTGACTCTCTGGAGTCGAGAAACTGGCATCACTAGCTTGTGTATGTTCCTAGTACCTACAGAATGTACATCACTTTTTTTACTAAAACCTGTTTTTGTGAACATACATTAAATTTTCGTAAATATACTAAAAGGCCAAAGTTAATACATTTATTTCTTTAAATCTATCTCTGAGAGACTCTCGGTTTTAGATTGTAAATAGCTCTAATGGCCCTCTTCTGTAAAACAAAAATAGTTTCTGAATCATCCGCATTTCCCCATAGCAAAATCCCTTAAGACATTATGCTATAGAAATAACTGAAATAAACTAATCTAGCTGTCTCGACACTAGTGAGACCTCTAATCTTTTTTTCTGCAGAACTTAGTCTGCTTGCTAATTTGGATATATGGGGGCCCCACTGAAGCTTCGCGTCGAGAGTGATGCTAAGAAAAACAGTGGATACAACAGGGCTCAATTCCTCCCCATTTAAAACCACATTGGTATTCCGATTTTTAACATTCGTTGTTGTGAATTTAACACAATTAGTTTTATTTCCGTTCAAATGCAGATTATTAACGTTAAACCAATGCACTAATTTTGATATAGCATTATTCACATCGTCACATTTAAATGATTGACGTTTAAGAATAAAAATCAAGGGAGTATCATCAGCAAATAATACTATATCATGACTATCCCCTACAAGGTGAGGTAAGTCATTAATATACACCAGAAACAGGAATGGGCCGAGAATCGAGCCCTGACGGACACCCATTAGTACAGGTTACCCGGAAGAACTTTTACCATTGATAATAACCTTCTGCTTTCTATTACTTAAATATGAAACAATAAGTTTAAGCGCTGTGTTGTTTATTGACAAATACGCATTATTTCTGGTAATCGTGAAATATTTTATTGATAATATTTTATTGAATGATGATGATGATTTACTTGAGTATGGTTAAAGCAATGGGGTGGAACCGTGGAACTGAGTGTGCGGCACTGCTCTGATAAGAGCGGTGCCCCCCCCCCCCCCCCTTGAGTGCGATGTGCAACGCGTGAACGAGATCCACAGTGTATAAAAAAGTTAATATTATGACTTTTTATAAATTGTTAAGTACGTTGGAGAGATATTTCTCAAACTGTAAAAAAATCTCAGGATTTTCAAGGGAAATCTGGCCTTTTCTCCGGACTTTTGATTTTTTCATTTGGTAACCCTAGGCACAGGCCTCCTCTCATTTCTGAGAGGGTTTTAGGGCTAGGAAATGTCCGCCGCGCTGCCCCAATGCGTGTTGGCCAACTTTACATGTCTTCGAAATATTTGTTTTTTTCTTTTTCTTATTTCTCAGACATGCAGGTATCCTCACGATGTTTTCCTTCACCACTGAGCACGTGGTAAATCAGCACTTAAAATTGCAATTAACAATTTCATTGGTGCCGGCGGGGGTCGAACTCAGGTTGCTCGGGTACTGTGAAGCTTACAGCGAGCGCTAACCATCTGAGCTACCATGGCTCTATTTTCTCTATTCTAAAATGTGAATAAAAATAATTTAAAAATAGAGATTAAGAATAGTACATGTCTATATGTACATATAAATAAAATTAAAGTATCAGTCTGTAATATTGAAATAATTGGCTTCTACAGTACAACCTTAGTATAATAAACCTCAATATAACAATTTCCTCAATTGAAGAAATTTTGAAAATTAGAGTATTTTCAAAATTTCTTCAAACCGGCCTTAAGAGTTATAAAAAATAAACCTTTACATTACAAAAAACTTCTGTAAAAACCTCTATATAACAATTTCTCAATCATTGCAAAACAAATATAGAAAGTATAATTAATCTCAACATAAAGTATTCTACTAATCCATTTAACAAAAATTTATGTCTCAACAGGTTCAGACACGTTCAATTTATCGTAAGACAATTCAGTAATTCAAATTGTCATAATAAATTTATGTTTAGTGTTACTGTTATAATAATGCATTCTTCACAATGTGTTTTACTGTTTTTTTTAGTTTGCTTACCATGCTAAAACAAATCTTAGACCAATCTAACCTCTATATATATAATCCTCATTGTAACCATTGAGGTAATATGTTACTTTACGTAGTAACATATTACCTCAATGATTGTAACTAATTATATATATATATATGTATATATATATATATATATATATATATACCGTGAAACACGCCAACATTGCCCGAAATTTTAAAATAGATCTAGATATCTCAAGATTTTTGTATGCAACCCAGGATATAGTTTTTATCTGTGTCAGCACTAAGATCATATGTATGCATTGACACCGTCAAATTTAGCTTCTGAAATCGTTTTCTTGATCATATAGACAATTTTCAATGCGGGCAAAGTTATCTGGACTTTTAGCCAACATTACCCACCGAGATTTTAGCGGAACTATAGCTCTTATTTCAATGATATTAAAAATAATAAAAGCCTTTTGGCAATAAAAGCGAGTATATAAAAAATCTACTCGATATCAAACATATTTTCAAACTAAAATGAATGGGCAATATTACCCTGATATTTTTTCTCTTCTCCATACAAACGGTAAGAAGCGATTTAAAAGTGCTAGGGTTGTCATATTTGAGTTAAAATAAAACATAATATATTAAATTTTATAAAGTATGTGGGAAGAGGCAATTAAGAAAAAATATTTTTAAAATGCAAAGTTGTTTATTAAAGGGTTTAATTGTGTTTAATTGACTAAATTTGTTACAGAAATCAACATTGATAAAATTTGTTTAATGTTTAAAACTTAAGAAAAATAAAATACTTAGAGACATACATCTCACAAACTTAAGCTATTTCACTAAAAGTATACAGACCCGCTACATATATCTACCTTACCTATACCTTTTGCCATAATATATCGCATGAAATTTAAACAAATAAATTTATATATACTAACTAATCAAATGCAAACTAGACGTTTTCAATCTTTTAGGTACTTATCAATAATATTCATTGGTGAATTCAGTCTTAAAAAAATCGCTTCAGTCATATAATCTATATTTTTTCCTAACTAATCAATAATATCATTAATCAATATACTGAGCATTTCTAAGAACTCAATTAAATTATTCTATCAAAAATGTAGTCTTAATCAAAATTCTTAGTAATTGAAATTAATAATAAATTTGAATAATTAATTTCAACAGTCAAAAAAGTTTGTTGCGTTATTTTTATTGTATGTTGAAATTACTGAGATCTACATGAAATACAATCTGACCACGTCGAGTAATCGTTGGCTCGGGTAAAACTGTTAAAACATCTTCTAAATGTTGTATGTTGCAAATGTCATCAACGGTTGGATATGAAAAGGTCATTCCTGTATTACATTTAGATTCTTTAACTTTTCGTAAAAATTTAACCGTAGGAGTTACACCATTAATCGACAAAACCTTACCGACAAAGTGTTTCAAACTCTTTTTGGTGGAGAATCGAACAATAATCCAGTCATTTACTTTAAGTCTTTCTTGATTTTCAGAAAAATATTTAAACTCATGTAATCCAAAGGAGGTTATTACATCAGGGAGCTCAAAATTTTCCTTATCTTCTTGTTCTCTTAGGGTTTCAGAAATGTAAAAATCATTTATTGTTTCATAATCATCATCTGTGTCAACTGTCATAAAATCATTACCCGCAGATATCGAGCTTGACTCACTATCGTCTGGTGTAGGCCGCCTTCTTTTGATTGAAGTACGTCGTCTGGCTGATTTTTTCCCTTTTGAATTATTCTTAACCTCTTTCTTTCTATCACTTTTCGTATCTTTCCTAGTATGTTTCTTCTTTATTTTCTTCGCGACTTTCTTTTTCTTCCCTTTCAGGCATTCTGGTAAATCAGTTTCATGTGTGGCAATGAACGATATATTTTCAGTGTTATCAGACACTTCTTTTAAAAGACAAACATCAGTCACCGGTGTTCCTGCTTTTAGGAGTACATTTGAAAGTATTGTTATTTTATTTTTAATAGGACGATCTTGCATGGAGTTTTCATAATCCTTTCCAGCAATTAATATTTTGGTGGTACTATTTGCGAAATCTTTCGAATGTAAATGATCTGTGAGTGATTTTCCGGTTTTAATACGCAATGATTGGCCTAAATAAAAATTAATTACATTGATACATTGTCTACTAAGGTTTTCAGGAATATAATTATCCCTATACTGAGCGATACATAAAGACTCTTTGAAGTCTTGAACAAAATTTGTACAAGTATTTGAACAAAGATCAGTACGTTCTGCTACAAAAAGGCCAGTATGTTCATCTAAATAGCACGATTCTTGATTTGTTTTTTGCACATTACCCAATTTAACGGATTTCGCTTTTGTTTTTTTATTGCAAGTATCCACATTTAAATCAGAAATGCTTACTGATTTGCCAGGCTCGCAATCAATTTTTTTACTCCTCTGTACTTGCATAGGCTTTTGAGCTCTGGTTTCTAACAAATAATCTACCAGTACTTTATCGATTCCACAGGATAGTATTTCCCCTTGTATTTCTGGAATCTTCTTAAGGACTTCCTGTGGATTCAGGGGAAATATTCCCGATGCCCTAAAGCCACTTATTATGTTCTTCTTTTCTGTTATTTTAATTGCTTCTGTTAATTCATTAAGCAATTTCGGAAAATGTTTTTTGTTTAATGTGGCTTGGGTTGGATTCTTGAGCTTGTATTGGTACAAAATTTTACGCCAGCATCTTTTCAAAGGCGCAAAAAATGCAACATCTAGTGGTTGCGTGAGATGTGTAGATCTCGGAGGGATGAATACAAACTTAATGTCATGTTGCTCGCATGACTCTACTACTTTGAAACTCAAATGGCTAGATAGGTTATCGCAAAGGACAACTTTTGTCCCGACCATTTCATTTGCCCATGGAAGAATTATTGTTTCAAAGTAATTCTCAAACATGGCGCTGTCAAACCAACCTGACTTAGTACAATTGTATCTGGTTTCCGGTGGTCCTCCATTAACCCATTCTGAGTATAAATTTGTTGCTTTGTAAACAACATATAAAGGAAGGCACCTACCATCTGCGGTAGCCGTAAACATAAGGGATATGTTTCCTTTGGTGGAATTAACTATTCTCTCTGGATATTTTACTCCCCTTCTAAAAATGCTCTTAGAAGAGCCAGGGTCGTCGGAAAGATTGGTCTCATCGAAATTTACGATATTTTCTGCTGGTATGTTTTTTAATGTTGAAGTTAAGTTATTAAAATAGTTGAGTATGTCTTGAGCTCCCCTTTCAGCTCTCGCCTTTGAAATATTTTGGGTAGTTCGTAAGGTCAATTCATCAGCATGCCTTACCAAAAAGCTTTGTACCCAAGCATCACCGGGAATCTTATTCTTAAAAATATGATCTCTTGAGTTTTTTTCGAGATATTCGTAAACCAATAGCTTTAGATCAAGTTTTGTAAGCGGGGAGCCAAAATCGCTAGAAGCTTGTAAAACCTTAACAATTTGATCCTCTTCTTTAGTTGATAGAGCAGTAGGATGTCCGACAGACTTCATGTGAACTCGTTTTATTTTATTAACTATAGTCCGCCTTGGGATTCCAAACTGTCTTTGAACATCTCTTGATGAAATTTGACCTGATTGAACAGATTCACATGCAAGCATCAACATTTCTTCAGAGTAATTTTTATACACCCTGGATCCAAGTTCACGTCTTGACCTCCTTTGTGAAATACGTGATTTATGTTTGTTTTTCTGAAATAAAAAAATGCAAATTATTTTATGATAATAACAAAGTAAATAAGATAACTCATCTATTCATGGAAATTACATAAATTCTCAAGAAAAAAGTAATTTTAACCTACTAAAGAAGTTTAAAATTTTTAAAATAATGACAATTTTCGAGCTAAAAAAAAAGAGACGAAAAAAGAGTAAGTACGAGCTAAAAAGCATAGGGAATAACTAACCAGAGTCACTATGGCGTTATGGTCTACCATAAAAACACAACATACTACACCATGAACCCAGAAAACATTACATTCATTTTTGGCGGTCATGTAGAAAGAAAATAAAAAGTGTCAACCCTTAACGTTTTTTGACGGCGGGCAATGTTGACATTTACATGACTGCACATCACTTGGTAACTTTGCCCACCTTCATAACTTTTGTAACACACAAGCTACAGCAATGAAACTATTATCAAAATACTCAGCACATTGTTTTACACAACAAACATACGATTAAACTTACCTGTGTTTTCGCCATAATGCACAATTCACTTGAAAAAATCCACAGAAATTGGCCCGCCAAAAAACGCACCGTTTTCGACAAGTGCCGACAGGTAACTGAGTGACGTTGAGATCGGAAACAGTATTTTGTGTTGCCACACGTATATTTTATTTTCTAACAATATTATAAATGCTGTCCTAAGTTTGGTAATGTTTTTTTTATTAGTTGATTTGCTTAAAAATTGTGTTTCGGGCAAAGTTTTCCCTGGTGGCAAAGTTGGCATATTTCACGGTATATATATATACATATATATTTACAAATTTGTCGAATTGAAACACACTTGTGGAATTATAATATAAACTTTTACGAACCACAAACAATCTATAAATATTTTATGTAACTATGTTCCATATAATATTGATAGATTGCTATATATATATATATATAGCAATCTATCAATAATATATATATATATAGCAATCTATCAATATTATATGGAATATAGTTACATAAAATATTTATAGATTGTTTGTGGTTCGTAAAAGTTTATATTATAATTCCACAAGTGTGTTTCAATTCGACAAATTTGTAAATTTCATATAAGTAAGTAAGAGCCATGGTAACTCAGGTAGGGTTGACATGTTTGGATTTTTCGGGTTGTGTCCGGCCTGTCTGGCTTTTGTTACGCTTTTTGTTAGTGTACGCGTTGCACACATCGCTTGCAGAATAAATAAATAAGTAACGTATACACTTGAAACTGTGCAGTGATTGATCTATAAACAATTAACGTATGTAACGGAGTATTTTAGTTTTTTTGATGGGTTTGGTGAGTTTTTTTGGCTGCATGGCCTCAGAAAGGTATGTTTGACTAAAAATTACTGTCAGACTTTTAGGGCCAAAAGTCCGGCTTTTTGGATCGCCGAGTCCGGCTTTTTAATTTTAGGAGATGGCAGCAAGTATAAACTCAGGGGCTAAGCACTTGCTGTAAATTTCACGCGTACGCGAGCAAACCATGTTTGATCCTATCCTGCACCAATGTAATTGTTAATTGCAATTTTAAGTGCTGATTTACTATATACTCGGCGGTGAAATTAAATATCGTGAAAAAACCTGCATGTCTGAGAAATAAGAAAAAAAATATATCAAAGACATATTCACCAACACACATTGGGACAGAGCGGCGGAAGTTTCCTTGCCCTAAAACCCTCTCAGAAATGAGAGGAGGCCTGTGCCCAGCAGTGGGACATATATAGGCTGTAACTTTAACTTTAATTATTATTATTATTAGATACTTCAATAAAGCACTGAGCGATAGCTCCAATACAGTGTAGGAAAATCCATAGATAATACATTCCACTCACGGACCTTTTCTTTCCATTACTCTACACACTTGACGACATGAGATTCAAGTTATTGAGTGTAGTCCTACAGTAAGAGTACATCACTGTTACTGTAGGACTACAGGCTCCAGTGTGTCTCATATAAAATGTGATAGCTGAATAGTGAACAGATTTATTTGGACTTATAATATTCTGAATTGGCCAGTTCCATCGAGCAGATATTTTTTGTATTATGATAATTTGTACAAAAACAATATACACCATCTAACAATTTGGTATAAATTATCTCAACAACCTATGTCATATTTTTAATGATAGCTGGCAGTGCACTATGTGACTGAAAAGGAAAATAGAGAAAAAGAAGTAACACCAGCACATTACATACACAATAACACAGCACAAATTTTAAATCAAGTTTAAGCAGGCATTACAAATTAAAATCTAAGATTGAATGTTAACATTATTATAAAAGACTAGCAAACCAGGGGCGGTTTGCCCGGTTGATTTCTGGAGCACAACAACAGCGTCACCTACCGAGTCCAATTGTGAATCGTTTAGATCATCCAGGGACCTACTCAAATACACACAAAATTTTTTATCAAAATCGGTCCAACTATTTTCGAGTTTTTGTGAGGCTAACCGACAGCGATTGAATTTTATATATAGTTTAGTGGTTGCCTAGTAGTCGAATTTCCACTAGACGATCTAGTTGCAATTCATTAAATTTTAGACTTTATATTAAGCAAGCTGTAATACATTTTTAAATAAAACTAATTTTACGGATTTTATCGCGTATATTAACATATTTTTATATTCCCGACGTTTCGGGTGCTTTCCAGCACCCGTGGTCACGGGGGACTGAGGTGTTTGACGTCCTGCTGTCATAGTTAGCCCGGCTACCTTCAGTTTTTTAATATTAATTTTTGGTTCGATTTACGCAGAATGAGCTTACAGTATCTTGAAGTCTAGCAGTGGTATACTTGGGTTTGGATTTGATTTTATTAATTATGGGATCCCAAGCAGATGGCAGCACCCATCAATCTTCTCTATTGAAATTAGGATGTTTTTTAATTTCAATAGCCTCGCGAATCATCCTTGGGAGGAATCGGTGTTCTTTTGCGAGGATTTGTGGTCTATCAAATCTAATGTAATGGCGGGGACGATCTTGAACATGTTCACAAACTGCAGACTTCCCGATACGTCGGTGCTTCATGTCAGCTATATGTTCTTTAACGCGGGTTTTAATAGATCTTTTTGTTTGTCCTATGTACGAGAGACCACATTCACAATCCAGCTTGTACACTCCTGCATCTTGTAGAGGGATATGACACTTGACGGATGGTAAAAATTGACCAATCTTCTTCAGCGGCTTGAAGTATGTTTTAATGGAAGCTCGCTTCAAGATGTAGCCAACCTTGTCTGTGACTCCTCTGACATAGGGTAGTACAGCAGGCACACGCTCGACTGTGGCTGGCTTCACTCGGTCACTGTGACGTAGGCGCGGGACCCGAAGCTTGTTGTCTTGCAGTACTTGCTCGACGTGCTGAAGCTCGGCGGCCAGATGTTTTCTGTCACAGATCCCTCGTGCTCTCTGAAACAAAGATTTTCCCACGGTAGCTAACTGTGAAGGATGATGGTGAGATTCACCATCATCCTTCACACAAAAAGACAAAGACAAACAAATAGAAAAATACCAAAAATTAACTATCAAATCAAATGCCAAACATCCATGTCAACGTAGAAACGAAACGCAACAACCGTTCACCACAGACGCAAACAATAAACAACGCACGGTCTATAATTTGTCAAAAGAAACACTGGACGAACCTACAATAAAAGTATTGTCGAAAGGCTTGAATTTTGCTATAACGCCGCAAAAAATCCCGTACGAGGAAATTATCTGTAGTGTTGAGGATTGTCTGTTTAAGAATGATATCGGTAAAGAGGATTTAGAGGCCATACGTCAAGACATTTCGTCCATGTTACGTCGAAGTTCAGCGCCGAAACTAAATCTCCCCAAAGACGAATTAAAGCGTTGTACAACTTACGCAATAGACCAGAGCTCACGATTCTCCGCGCGGATAAAGGAAATGCTACGGTAATAATGGACACGTCAGAGTATAATTTCAGAATACAACAACTTTTATCGGACGTAAGTACATACAAAAAGGTCAAAATAGACCCTACAACTAATACACTTAAAACAACTACTGATTTAATAAAGAAATACTCCGAAAAATTAGATCTCGACGTGAATTCGACAATACCATCATGTGCCAAACCACCGAGGTTGTATGGGTTACCGAAAATACACAAACCAAACGCTCCACTACGTCCTATAGTAAGCCAGATCGATTCACCAACTTATAAGTTGGCTCAACACTTGGCAAAAATACTGTCACCACTAAGAGGACATACCAGAGCACACACAAAGGATTCATACCATTTTGTTAGTGAGATTAAAGACCTACATCTCGCTGACAATGAAACTATGGTCAGTTTTGATGTTCAGTCACTATTCACATGCCTACCTATTGAAGACTGCATCTCAATTGTTACTAGAAAGCTAGAAGATAACAACATGCCTACAGAATATGCAGTATTACTCAAACACTGCCTCACATCTGGCTATTTATTGTGGAAAGAAGAGTTCTACATGCAAGTAGACGGAGTGGCAATGGGCTCACCTTTATCTCCCGTAGTCGCCGACATATTCATGGAGGACTTTGAGGAGAAAGCCCTTCTTACTGCTCCTGTAAATCCAAGATTCTACAAGCGGTACGTAGACGATACTTTCACAATTTTACCATCTGACAAAGTAACTGCATTTTTAAACCACCTCAATTCCATAAACCCTAAAATACAATTCACAATGGAGTTAGAGGCAAACAATACTTTAGCTTTCCTAGATGTTTTAGTCATCCGAAATCCTGATAACACTATTGGTCATACTGTGTACAGAAAAAATACCCATACTAACCGATATTTAAATGGTGAATCTCACCATCATCCTTCACAGTTAGCTACCGTGGGAAAATCTTTGTTTCAGAGAGCACGAGGGATCTGTGACAGAAAACATCTGGCCGCCGAGCTTCAGCACGTCGAGCAAGTACTGCAAGACAACAAGCTTCGGGTCCCGCGCCTACGTTACAGTGACCGAGTGAAGTCAGCCACAGTCGAGCGTGTGCCTGCTGTACTACCCTATGTCAGAGGAGTCACAGACAAGGTTGGCTACATCTTGCAGCGAGCTTCCATTAAAACATACTTCAAGCCGCTGATGAAGATTGGTCAATTTTTACCATCCGTCAAGTGTCATATCTCTCTACAAGATGCAGGAGTGTACAAGCTGGATTGTGAATGTGGTCTCTCGTACATAGGACAAACAAAAAGATCTATTAAAACCCGCGTTAAAGAACATATAGCTGACGTGAAGCACCGACGTATCGGGAAGTCTGCAGTTTGTGAACATGTTCAAGATCGTCCCCGCCATTACATTAGATTTGATAGACCACAAATCCTCGCAAAAGAACACCGATTCCTCCCAAGGATGATTCGCTAGGCTATTGAAACTAAAAAACATCTTAATTTCAATAGAGAAGATGGATGGGTGCTGCCATCTGCTTGGGATCCCATAATTAATAAAATCAAATCCAAACCCAAGTATACCACTGCTAGACTTCAAGATACTGTAAGCTCATTCTGCGTAAATCGAACCAAAAATTAATATTAAAAAACTGAAGGTAGCCGGGCTAACTATGACAGCAGGACGTCAAACACCTCAGTCCCCCGTGACCACGGGTGCTGGAAAGCACCCGAAACGTCGGGAATATAAAAATAAGTTAATATACGCGATAAAATCCGTAAAATAAGTTTTATTTAAGAATGTGTAGTGTTCGCGTAAATATAAGAAATCATTAAGCTGTAATTCACTTTTAACTGCACATTAATATATGTATAAAACTCAGATATATTATACAAAATATAAAATTATGGTTTTATGTCCTGATATACATAATTAGGATCGAACTTCACTTGGTAAGTTCGTTTGATCATTAATTATGCTTCACAGCTTCATTCTAGCGATTTTTGTTAACTTATTGTAGATGTTTAAAGTCTAAATGTCAAAATAAAACAAGGAATAATAATTTTCATAGATTATAGTTATACGAGAATACGAATTTTCATCAATTTTAATTTTGGTACATTGTGTACATTCTGTTAATCATTTATAATTAATTTAACTATCACTTGACAGTATTGATCGCGCAAGTTAGTTTTGAGTCTTTTTTTATATTTATTTAGCAAAAACGCTAGAGGTTTCACTCCACCCGGCGGCCTTTCTAATTACATCGATATTCACACCTAATCTATTGGCAGACGAAGTAGATGCATGACAAGTGGTGTGAGCCTTAAATATTGATGTGTCAATGCCACTGTTAGATAACATTAATTTTATCTAATGGCTTAACGTTTGAGAAGAAACCGCGAGCTGTGGTTTTTTAAACTGATAAATAGTGAATCTTGATTGTTAATCCGTTCAGGATTAGTCCTATTTGTGTACATAATTAAACAGGATGCCGGACAGATTCATGGTTTAAAAGTGAAAGAAGGGATCTTTAACACGGTTTGATTAACGTTTAGTCTAAAAGTCTTAATTAAATCAGAAATCTTAATCACTATTTTCGACAACTAAACTTTGGCTATTTTTATTAGGGAAAGAGTTTAAAATCTATGTGCCGTTACTAACGCCAATAATGTGACTGTCTCCTTAGATAATACCTCGAGTGTCAATCCATCATTTGGCCAAAACTGTTCAAGATAATTTAAAACTATATTAGGGTCCCAAACTAAGTCAAATTTTGGTGGTCGTAACCTGAATACTCCTTTCATAAATCTCTTAAGTCTTAAGTCTTCAAGACTGTTTGACTTTAAAAGTTTTATCGTTGATTTGTGCGAGTTAATAGTACCGTACTGTACTCCCTGATAATGTAAAAAATGTAATGTAAAAAAAACTACAATAAATGCAGTCTTGTGACAGTAATTATTAACTTGACAATACTTCATCCAAGCTTTTAAGCACCCATCATATTGCCTGTATGTACTATCTGTGAGAGAAGATCTACCGTTCTTGGGGAGAGGTGTCAGTAGTGTAGTTGTACCACTTCTAGACCACCTGAGTCAGACGTGGTTCAACGACGTTCGTCGACGCCCGATCCTAAAAAAAAAAAGGTTTTGGCATGCTCTGATCACGAATCCGCGGTCCATTTTTGTGTAGAATGCACGGTTCCGGAGATGTGTAGATCAATTAGCTAATATCTAATTGATATCCGGTAAGGGCCTCCACCGTCATTAGCGTCCCATTGTTCCTATTTCTATTGTTCTATTGTTCCTTAATCACCTTCATTGCAGCGTGTGCGTCGACTATATCAGTGCTATTGTATTATAATTCTTTGTTTATACAACGCTATTCTGAATCATCAATAAAACACATTACATAATTTTGTTACAATTTTTATTTATAAAATACAAAATCTTATTAATTATTATCTATAAAATAGGAGCGAAACATCTCATCCACTAAAATATCGTTGTACAATGTGTTCCTTGTAAATATACTCGTAAAACTATGTATTGAACATCCTTGAAACTTATATAGCAAATACATTAAGCAATATTCGCCACAAACTGAAGTCCACTCATTCTGAATCCTATCAACATTCCAGTTCCATCTTTTACAATTCCTTTTTAAAAACTCTAGATGATATCGTACAGGTGATCGTCCATATGAATCAAAATATTGACCGACGTCATTCGTATCGATATATAAAGCTACCCAATGTGACCCTGGTTTATCATCTGTATCCAAATTACATATTATATACGTTGGTACGTGGGTATACATAGGCAGTCTATTAGCTGCATAAACATTATTTTCTAGACTGGGGTGAATCTTTTTCAGATGTTGTTGTACATCTAGTGTATCCATGATATTACTGCTATTAGTAGATTATTACAGTACCTAGCTACTCAATGAATAACATAGGAATGGTCAATTATAGTGATTTCTACATATTAAATTGCATTTTTGTGTTATACAAATCGTACTTGAGTCATTGATCACCAAACAAAACACAATACGAAGAAATGTTGAGATAGGCAACGGAAATGTGAGATAAACTGATATGTTTCTAAATATTAAATTGCATTTTTGTGTTATACAAATCGTACTTGAGTCATTGATCACCAAACAAAACACAATACGAAGAAATGTTGAGATAGGCAACGGAAATGTGAGATAAACTGATATGTTTCTAAATATTAAATTGCATTTTTGTGTTATACAAATCGTACTTGAGTCATTGATCACCAAACAAAACACAATACGAAGAAATGTTGAGATAGGCAACGGAAATGTGAGATAAACTGGTTGACGCATAAAGTAATTATCAACTCATTACGGAAATACTTTAGATTAGAATTTTTACGTACTGGTGGTATATAAGACCAACAAACGCAGTCATCGAGTTAGTGTACGGTCGTTTGGCTACAGTGGATCTATCAATAGTACATTTTGTGTTACTTCAATACACCAAAGGCTATGGATGTAAGTGTTTATTCTATTGACTAAATTACTTTTTTTCTGTTATTTTCATGTGTGTGTATTATTTTATTTAAATATTGTGTATGTATATGATTAAGCCGTGGTAACTCAGATGGTTAGCGCTAGCTGTAAATTTCACAGTACGCGACCCGGGTTCGATCCCCGCCAGCACCAATTAAATTGTTAATAGCAATTTTAAGTGCTTATTACCACGTGCTTGGTGGTGAAGGAAAACATCGTGAGGAAACCTGCATGTCTGAGAAAATTTCGAAGGCATGTGAAGTTCGCCAACACACATTGAGGGAGCGCGGCGGACATTTCCTTGCTCTAAAACCCTCTCAGAAATGAGAGGAGGCCTATGTTCAGCAGTGGACTTTAATAGGCTGTAACTTTAACTTTTTTAACTTTTATGATTAAGTGTTAACAAATTGATATTAACATGATAACTGTGTTGTTGCAGAAATCATTGAGCTTCGATGAAGATACCTATAAACAGTATTACTACTCGCCACTCTCCCCTCAAGAAGAGAGTGATAACCTCGTCATTAATAATAACACATGCGATGGTGGAAAAAGAAAATCGCAATCGATTGATCATTTTTTTGAAGCTGAATCAAAAATAAAAAAGAGGAAGCTGTTATCATCAACCGTAGCACGAGCCGCTAGAGATGGTGTATCATACATTTCTACTAATTCTGACGACGGAGACCAAGCGACGCATCTCATCAAAATTGAAATGTACGATATGAAGAAGCTATCCAAGATTCCAACTACTGATCATTGGAAACATGCTTCCACTAGAATTAAATATTACGTAAAGACTAATAAGGATAGCATCTACGACAACACAAACGCCCTCGTATACAATATAACAAAGACAATAGCAGAAAGTGAAAAAGTTAAAAAATACTTTTTTAACAATGACAGTCATTAGCTGATCATTAGTGAATGTGATTCTGTTTACTTCAATTACAGGAAGACAAGAGCGGAAGGAAGAGATGAGTGTGGCATACGTGTACAAAACACATCATTGAATAACAAAACTACAACACTGAGTGGAGAAGAAAACGAGAAGAGTATGCAGTACTCAAGAGCTGAATATCCATTCTTCAGTTCAAAATCTAGCCGTTTGCTTAGTTTCGAAAACTGGCCTCTAGTTATGCGACAGAAACCTGAAGATCTTGCAGAAGCTGGTTTCTTTTATACTGGCCATGCAGACGGGACCAAGTGTTTCCATTGTGGTGGTGGTTTAAAAGATTGGGAAGATGATGATGATCCTTGGCAGCAGCATGTTCAGTGGTTTAGTCAGTGTGCTTATGTAAAATTTCAACTCGAACAGTGTTTTGTATTAGATTAAATAGAAGATTTATAAAGAAATAAAAAAAAAATATATTGCATACAATTTGTTTTATTTAATTTTATAACGTTTCACATAGTTACATACACACAAAATGCATTACACATAACACATAAAATCTAACACACAACACATATTATAACCTTAACTACTATAGTCTACAGTAACATTTCTGTTTTTATCTATCTCAATAATATTATCAAACTCAGCATAAACTATACAGTTAATTGTTTGTATTAATGAGGATTCAAATCGTACTTCTATTCTTACACTACCATGCTTTATGAGATTCCAATGAGTTGATGAGTTAGCTGATAAATCAGGAGTTAAGTCAAATGCTAATAGACAGTAACCTTTGCCATACTGTTCACAAGAGATTCCATTTCCTTCATTAAGAAAGTGAATACCAGTTCCCGAGAATAGAGTATGATATGCTGATGTAAATATGCTATTATTAAAAGATGGTTGCAAAGCTTTTGAAGGTATTTGTTGACCATCAATATATAAGCTGAAAGAATTAATACCATAGTTTTCAAAGTTAAATGGATTTTTAGTAAGGGAACCATTAAATGCAGAATTGTTCACAAATCCAATTATACATCTTTTCGGTACCTGTCCTAAAAATATATTATCAAGAGTTTTTCCTTGAACACCCGAAGGAATTGTTAAAACTTTTACTTCAGCTCGAGTAATAGGATATTTAGCAGTGGTAGAAGCTAAAACTTTTTGATGTGCGAGTAATACACTTGGATTAATTCGTGCTCGTCGAACAATAAGAGTTGCGTCCGTAATGCAAACTTTAAACTTTACATCGTTCGACCCAACAATTAAATTAAAACTCTCTCTTGATCGAACCAATTTAACACTCATTTCAACACCATTAATTAAAAATTTATCTTGGTTAAAAATGTCACCGTGAAGATGACCAATCATTTCTATTTCCTTACTTTCACTAATCAATTCCTGTCTTTTAACAAATCCTATGTTTTTACCATCTGTAGAATCCATTTTTCCTGCTGTATCCTCATACCAAAGACTACAAGTAAGATGAGATTGTTTAGCAGCAGGGGCATAGTTTAAAAGGGTTTCCATGTATGCTCGATATGCATAGGTATTATTAGGTGGTGATACAAGTTTTTGGTTTAAATAAACATCAAGTTGACTAAAAAGTGAATGCAGCCAATTATTTACAGGTGCTACTATTGTAGTAGATACCAAGTTAGTTGAATCTTGATTTAATACTTTTGCCTTTATGTGGAGTAATGTATGAGACAAATCTATGTAGTCATCGCCGGTCCCAGGAACTTGAAACTCGATAGGTCCATCATCACCAAGAGATGAAATTGGTTTATAATGAATCCACAATCCATTTTCAATGCTAGTTTGTGTAGACGGTAGTGCAAACAAATCCAATTCTGACTTAACGCACTCGCAAGAATGATTATGAAGGAAAGACATATTTAGTTTGAAAATATATCTTTGATATTTTTTGGTTTTAGACTAAGTTTTTTCGCAGCTTTCACTTTAGCAGTTAATGGTGGAATGAACGATGTCAATCGTTTTCTTTTAGTTTTATACCCAGATCCAGTCATGTTAAATTGATCAATTTTCTCATCAGCCTTTCGTTTTAAATTCGTACTAACTTGCTTTAGACGATCTTTTATTGAGGCTTCCATAGGACGGGCTTGAACCATATCCGATAAAAGTCCTACTCCAGCGCTTAATGCCTCCTTACCAATCACTCGAGCACCACTTGAAAGTAAAGGTAAAACTGATCTGAATAACCCCCCTAAGAAGCTCCCAATACCATGACCGCGTTGATATGGTGAACCCTTATAAATTACTCCAACTCCTGATCCAGCTTGATGTGTATAATAATTTTCATATGGACATTTATGATGATCACGAAGAGAATTCATTATTATAATTTTCGGAAATGTAGTTTAATACACACGGTTCCAAACTGGAATGGTATTTTTTGTCCTGTACTCGATCTTATAACTATTTCCAACGTATCGAACTCTCTTCGCATAACAGGTAAGTAGTGAGGTTGAGAGAAAACGTGCATTTTATTTGCACCATAAATGTATTTTGTGGGATCTAATGAAATGACTCTTAATAAAGGAGTCATAACATCACCCACAATCTGAGGATCGATAATGTCGCAATATAGAAATAGTTGAGATGGTAACCCTAAGTGTAAATTAGCAGGACACTTTCCAAAATTTCTCTCTAGGAGATTTTTATTTGGTTCATAACCTAGCTGTAAACTTAATTTGGGTGATAATGTTACGGATGTTATATTTTTATCCAATACCGAAATAGACACAAATTTTGTTATTTCATCATAGCGAAATTTCAAGTTCTCTCCGATACCATTTAACACTCTTAAAATATGCTCAACGTTATCATAGTTGGTAGCTGGAATATGTTTTTTGTAGTACACTGTGGATGGCTTATCTTCATTAGGCATTAACATAGATTTTGTAATGTATATAACATTTTCATGGTCTTGAACAGTAAACATGGTACATGGATATTGAAACTCGACAACTCCAACCGACCATTCACCTTCTAATTTTATAGCTTTTGGTAATTTCGTTGAAAAATTTGTGGTCTTGTTATCAGGAAAGTATTCCATTGAACTATTGCTGAGCAAAGTTAAATAGAAACTTTCTTTATTCATATTTCTTTTAAACTAGAAGCTAAAATCCAACTGTTAAATTTATCTGGATAACCTTTCCACTTCACTAATACTTCTTTTCTGTTACTTGAATAACGAGTGTCAATTATTTTATCTATTTTATGTTGTGAGGTGGGGTTGTAAGTGATTTTCTGTAATTCTCTTTCATAAAAAGTACCAATTATTGGTTCATTTTGTAAATCTGTTATTGTATAAACAACCCATGGAGATCTATCAATTATTGAAGATATAATAAATATTTCATCACTCCAATTTGATTCATTGTGTTTGATTTTTCAATTTGATTCACAGTGTTTCCCAACGGATAGGTCTTACATGTTTAATGTCCATGTCACACCTATGCCGGTAGTTGTTGGGAACACTAAGCTCGAAGTTGTTGACGAGTATGTTTACCTGGGACAAATAGTCCGACTAGGTAAGTCCAACTTCGACCGAGAGGTCAATCGACGGATTCAACTCGGTTGGGCAGCGTTCGGGAAATTACGGCACATCTTCTCGTCAGGTATACCTCAAAACTTGAAAACGAGACTGTATACCCAGTGCGTGTTGCCAGTGATGACATACGGAACTGAGACGTGGTCCTTCACTGCTGGCCGGATGAGGAAGCTCAAGGTCGCTCAGCGAGCTATGGAGAGGGCTATGCTCGGAGTTTCTCTGCGTGATAAACTCAGAAATGAGGATATCCGCAGTAAAACCAGAGTGACCGACATAGCCCAACGGATTAGTAAGCTGAAGTGGCAATGGGCCGGCCATATAGCTCGAAGAACCGACAACCGATGGGGAAGAAAGGTTCTCGAGTGGCAGCCTCGTACCGGCAGGCGAAGTGTAGGGCGTCCCCCCACTAGATGGAGTGACGACCTGGTAAGATTTGCAGGAAGTCGATGGATGCAGGTGGCTCAGGACCGTGCTTTGTGGCATTCTTTGGGGGAGGCCTATGTTCAGCAGTGGACTTGTGAAGGGCTGTAATGATGATGATGATGAATTTGATTCATATCCTTTTTGGAATACATGTTTATATTTAGTTATTCGAACATAATCACCCACATTGAAATTTGGTTTAGGATTTTCTAAAGAAAGTTTTTTTGACCGTCTATCATAAAGATTAGTCCAAACTGTCATAATATTGTTGGAATTTACATCACATGGGCACATCTTAATACTAGAGTGAAAGCTGTGATTATAAGAGTATATTAAATCTTGTAAAACATCTATATATCTATAAGTATTATTATGAGTGAAATAACGCCACATTTTCATTTTTAGTGTTCTTTGAAATCGTTCAACAATACTGGCCTTAATGTCAGGATTGTTAGTGGTATAGTAATTAATCTTTTTGGATTTAAAGTATTTTTGTACATCTTTTGAAACAAATTCTGTACCTTTATCGGATTGTATGTGAGTAGGTGTTAAATTACTTTCAGTAAATATACTTTCAAAACATTCTTTAGTTGTTTCTGAGTTTTTCTTTTTCATTGGTCTTGCAAAAGCATATTTACTAAATACATCAATAATACAAAGTATATACTTGAAACCATCATTATATTGAGAATAAGTTCGCATATCACTTAAATCAGCTTGCCACAGTTCATTAATATTTGATAGAATGTACCTATTACGCGGGAATTTTTTTCGAATGGGTTTATGTAATGTGTATGTTTCTTGTGATTTTAACCATTCCTTTACTTGCTTTTTATTCATTTTACCCTTCATGGCTTTTGATAATTTATCAATACTACCAAAACCAGCGGGATTAGATGGATCATAATAAATCCTGTTAATTTCTTCTAGTACGGAGTCCATTTTTCCCACTCAAGTCCTTTACGTATTTTAGTTGTAGACTTTTTATCTCTACTGCACGGTGTAGAAAACTCTTGAACTTCAATCTCAGAGGGTTTGTTCAGATCTTTTGCTTGAAGTTGGTTAATAAACTCACATCTCCTTGGATTTCCAATATAAGTAAGTGGTACTTTAATATCTTTTAATGCTTCAGCAAATCTAACCCACCCTACCGGATCACTTCTTTTTAGGGGTCTTAGTGAATCATTTATTAAATCAACAATATTACTTCCAGGAATTTTTTCACTATCAATTATGACTGTACCTTCGTTATCCCAATGTATTTTACTTTTACTTGTTTCAACTAAGTTTAATAATAACTGCCCTTTTTTATGATAAGTTTTTGGTATTAAACTGAGTATTTGAGCTGGTGTGTAAAGTGGATTTTCATCATTTTCTTTACTTTTAATGGATCGATTCTCCTCCAGCAAAGATTCAATATCAACTGAAGTTTTTAGATCTCTATCTTTATTTTTAAAACCAATTTTTGACTCATTTGAATCTTCATTAGATGTATCAGAATAAATTGGTAATTTGAGTGGTTGACGATCCTCTTCGGTAAAATGAAGGTATCTTTGCAGTGTTTGTAAATATAATATCCATTTCTTTCGGTCTTCCGTCTTACTATTCATAATATTTTGCATTTCAATATCTAATCGAGATAAATTACTATTAACCTTATTTTCTTGTTTTAATTTTTCAATCAATCCAGGTTCGATAAGTATCATTTTCTTTGCATTTTCCATGTTAACTGGCTAGTCCACTCACTAATCCACTCAATATTGCACCTAATATTGTTGGTAAGAAAGCCCCTCCTTTTTGTATAATTATATTTTTTCTTAGTTTATGTTTACACTTACGTACTAGTTTACGGAGTATGTTTTTATGTTTATTCAATTTTTGTTTATCCTGATCTTTAAGAGGTACTTTTCCTTGTAAAACGTTATGAATACACTCACAAATACAGTTAATTTCTTCTTCATCACACGTTTTAAGTAATGCTCTTTGATATTTTGGTTTAAGCGTATGCAAAGCGGTTAGCAAATGTTTATACGTTGTGAGTCGACGATGCATCATTTAGCAATGATTTCAATTGTTTGATTCTTGGTGTATTTAAACTCTTTTGTGGGGACGTAGACTGTACAGAAACCATTAAATGGAAAGACATTTGTCTTGATACGACAAAAATCATTGGTATTCTGTTTTAAATCTACCATTAAATATCCATGCGCCTCTAGAGTTGCATCCCTGTAGGCATTTTCAATGAATTTTGGGTTATCTGGTGATACTTGTCTTGCTAAATATCTTATTTGAGTTTTATCTCGAGGGTTTTTAAAATATATTATATAACTTGAGTTTAAAGATATGTCTCTTTGTCCTTTACCCTGATGAAATAAATTTTGTGTTAGATAAAATACACTAAGATTCCTGTGATGACTACCTTTTGTAAATATATCCACAATTCTTCCATCGGACTCTCTCATTAGATCATCAATAATAACAAGATGTGGGTTTTCACCATCAAACATATTAAGATTTGGAATTCCTTGATGATAGTTAACATTTGGTAAATTATATAATGGTTGCATTTCATCAAAGCACCATGTGATCTGATTAAAATCACAATTACATATTTCTGTAACTGATTTTATGAAATTTGTTACAAAATTTGACTTCCCACACCCACTTGGTCCTGCCACAATAGCAGTGAACGGATGGATAAAGTGAAACATAACACACGTCTAAAGTTCAAAGGGGTGAAATAAAAAATGAAAGTGTTGGTGTAAACAATTAATATATATTCCAAAAATTATATAAAACAGAATTATCTGTATACTATTTCTAACACAATTAGTACATCATAATTTTACAATTAACTCAACCTCAAATAAATAGAAACAACAATTAACTTAAATTA